AAGAGTTCAGGGTGACAGTGCATCTCTCATTGTTGGATGGGAGTCCAAAGTCCATTTGTATACCCGGGATAAATACTGATCTCCTGCCCAAGGCTCAATAGATTACCTACGCCTCCTCTCTGACACCCACATTCAGGGGGTCTTGATCAGTCCCATGCTGGATTCCTAGGCATCAGTCTGGGATTCAAGAGCTAAACCTTGTCAGGTCAGCTGTTTCTGGAGGTTAAACCAGCCCAGTCTTAATCCCTTTGGTCATCAGTCCTCCCTCTCTGTCACTGGGTTGACTTTTGAAAATCTGGGAAATTAAGAGACATTTAAGAGCAAGTAAAACACAATAAACTCCAACACACATCATTTCATTTTTTCCATTCTTTCTTTTCTCTTTGGAGCTTTCTTGTTTACTTCTCTTTGCAACTTACAGTAGGGAGCCTCCTTTGAAGATGTCTGATTTCATTATGACAAGACAGACAGTGCACACAGCTCAATGGGATGAGTCAGCTAAAGCAACAGGAAAGGGATGCAAATAGAGACAGCCCTGGACCCTCTCCAGAGCATCTGGAGCTTGCCTCCTCCTCCTCCTTTGAGACCGTAGAGTGCCCTGAATCCCACAAGATCCAGAGACCTTTAGCACTGGCCTGTGGTGCCTACAGCTCAGCTCATACAGCTGTGAGTCTGGGCTGACGATGTATGTTGTGACCATCATTTGTCAGAAAGGACAACACTCCTCCAGGCTCAGTCTGTTTCCTTATCCTACAATATATATGACACACATTCTCCCTTCCAGCATATGGGCAAATGCAAGGACCTTGAGCTTCAATGCCAGGCAGCCCTGGGCTCTAACTCACTTGGTAGCTTTATGATATGAGTGTTACATCACTCAAGTTCTCTGAACCTGAGTTTTCTTAGCTGTAGGATAGGGATACTAAAACCTACTCTGCAGGGTCATGACAAGAACTGGAGTTGATAGGTATTCATTGCCTGCAGATTAACAGGTCCTTGCTAAGTTGTAGATAAATTGTCATTGTCTTATTAGTCATCTGTTTTGCATATTTCTGTCAAGCCAGTCTTTAATTTTAGTTCTATCCTATTTGTCTTTCAAGTGAATTCCTACTGGAATTGCAGAACTAGCCCCACAATGTTTTCATAAGATTCCAAATATATTCTTATTCTCTCTCTTTCTCTCTCTCTCTCTCTCTCTCTCTCTCTCTCTCTCTCTCTCTCCTCTCCTTTCCCCCCCCCCTCTCTCTCTCTCTCTCCCTCACTCACTCCCTCTTTCCCTCCCTCCCCCTGTCTGTCTCTCTGTCTAGTGCTTTCTTGCCAGGGGTTAAAAGATTCAAGGAAAGACTCAAACCTGGGCTCAGTCCTTTGGGAGCTTTTGATCTCACCAGGGAGACAAGACATAGACACAAGATGCAATTAGAGAATAATAAGAAAGAGTGAGGGCACTCAGATGTGCTGAGCATAATGTTCCATGCCTCTTCCTGCTTCTGAATTCCATCCTTGCTCTATTAAACAATACTACCAGACTTCTGACTCATGTTCGGACTTGGGACCTAGAAGACAATGATATTTCTCTGCTGTGTATGTAACCAGATTCCTCTGTCATATATAATATATTTTATGCTGCATTTGAGCGGATTTCCCTGAGTATCTTCCATGGCACTTGTCCCTATCACAGATCATTCTGTCTTCACATGATCTCTTTTTCTACACTGTCATTTCTGTAATTATCATTAGGCACCAGCTTCCTGCCAGGGATAGCTAAGATAAAGCTGTCTAAACACCCTTCCTTGCCTGTTCTACACGTTCTCTACACTCTACAAGTTCTCTCTGTACTCTGATTTCATACCCCTAGTGTCCTGGTGGGGTGATGGGAGGGAGGTGCAGGTAGATGATCAGGGAGTGGTCACTTTTATTCCTAAGCCTTAGTTTGCTCTCAAGAGAAAAGAAGCTCAGTGAGAATTTGGATGTGTTGTGGTCTAATGACAGGCAGTAGTTTTTAATATGACTTTACCAACAAGCAATGTGCTGATGAGTAAGCAGTTATGAGACAGGGCACTTCTCTCCTCTCTCCCACATTAGACAGGTGGTCTGTAGAACTTTAGCCATCTTCTGAAAATGTTAGTAGGACCATCTTCAGAGTCCTTCTGGTCTCACCACACAGAGCCATTGACTAGAAGGATAAACTGCCAGGCAGGAGAGAATGTGTTCAGCAGGGATACATTTTAGTTTCCTGTTTGTGCTAGGAACAGGACAGCTGGACAGCTGCAGCATATGGAAGTCAAGTTCCCCTGAGGCAATGGCATCTGGTGGAAGTTTCAGGAGCCGTCCTGAACCAGAGGAAAATTAAGCAACACACAGAAATGTAACTAAGGAGCCACGTGGACCTATGTTCACCTGGGCCAGGTGCATGAACACCAAATATGGGCTTACAAGTAGAGGAGACATGATAAGATCATCTTGAGACGTCACACTGTCCTGATAAGAGAACAGGATTAGAGGTCAGAGGTGAGACAGTCATGGAGGTGGCTTTCAGCAGATTGGAGGAAAGAACTTTGGTTTCTTGTTGATTCTTCCATCGTTCCTTTTATTGCCATGTTCTGTATCTGCTGAGATTATTGGATTTGAGTTGGCTAACTATGGTTGCTTGAGATGGAGGTTTACTCAAGGTGAGGGATGTTTGGTACACCTGGGAGGCATGCATTTTGAATTCATATAGGTAGTTTTATGGTAACAGGTAAATGTCCAGAAAGTCTGGACTGTTATTACTGCATCTTGAACTTTGTAGACCTTGGGTAATAGTTACTTGAAACTTAGGTACCATTTATTAAACATATACACAAATCTAAAACACCCATCATCCTTCTCGATTAGTACTTCTTGATGGAGGTGGAAGTGGCTGAGTCAACTTTGTAGGTAGATTTAACTAATTATAGACAGTCCAGCTGATAAAAGTGTCTACAGATCCAGCCAGGCAGTGGTGGCACACGCCTTTAATCCCAGCACTCGGGAGGCAGAGGCAGGCGGATCTCTGTGAATTCGAGGCCGGGCTGGACCAACAGCCTCTAAAACAATACAGAGAAACCCTGTCTCGTAAAAACAAACAAACAAACAAAAAAAGTGTCTACAGATCCAGACAAAAAGCTTGAGTGTAGCACATAGATGGAAGAAAGAATGACTGCTATAGTCAACCCAGGGATCGGCAACCTGAAACAAAGTGGTTTTTAATTATATATATATATATATGTATATATATATATATATATAATTTAACTATTTATGCATGTCACTTTCAGTTCCCTATCCCTCCCCTCCTCCTCCACCCCTCACCCCTCCCAACCCCTCACCCCCAGTCCATCCCCCCCTCCACTCCCCAGGGAGGGCAAGGGCCTCCATGAGGGATTTTAAGAGTCTGTCACATCATCCTGGTAAGGGCCCAGGTTCTTCCCCATGTGCCCAGGCTGGGAGAGCATCCCTCCACATGGTATGGGTTCCCAGAGTCCTTCTCTATGCCAGGAATAAATACTGCTCCCCTCTCCAAGGAACCACAGATTGCCAAGGCCTCCTCTCTGTCACCCAGGTTCAGTGGAAGGGTGTCTTGATCAGTCCCATGCTGGCCCCTCAGTCTTCAGTCTGGGGTCCATGTGTTCCCCCCTTGTTTAGGTCAGCTGCCTTTGTGGGTTTTGCCAGCCTGATCTTGATTCCTTTGGTCATCACTCTTCTTTGCAGCTGGGTTCCAGGAATTCAATTCAGTTCACAGCTGTGGCTGTCTGCCTCTGCCTCCATCAGACACTGGATGAGAGTTCTAGGATGGCATATAATGTAGTCATAATTCTAATTATCATGGGAGGGCATTTAAGGTAGGCTTAATGCCAGTTGGTGTCATTCTTGTAGGTCTATGAAGATCTCACTAGTGCCAGATTTCCCCTCCAACTTGTACTGGCTCCCTCTTTTATGGCATCTCCCATCCTTTTCTCCTCTATTCTTACCCTGGCTCAACCTTCCTGCTCTCCCATGTCCTCCTCTCCCCTCCTCCTCTTTTCTCCCTCTCTTTCTTCCATCTCCTTCTATCATCCTCCCCCCCAATCCAATTAGGAGATCACATCCACTAACCCTTTTCCAGGTTACCATGCATATCTCTCTTAGGGTCTTCCCTGCACCCAAGACTCTCTGGTGGTGGGATTGTGAGCTGGCAATGCCCTGCTCCATGTCTAAAATCCATATATGAGTGAGTATATACCATGCTTGTTTTTTTTGTGACTGGGTTACCTCACTCAGGATGGTTTCTTCCTGTGCCATCCATTTGCCTGTAAATTTCAAGATTCTATTTTTTTTCTGCTGAGTAGTACTTCATTGTATAAATGTACCTTATTTTCTCTATCCACTCTTCAGTTGAGGGGTATTTTTCCAGGTTCTAGCTATTACAAATAATGCTGCTATGAACATAGTTGAGCAGATGTCCATATTGTATGAGGGTACATCCTTTGGGTATATGCATAAGAGTGGAATTGCTGGATCTTGTGGCAGACTGGTTTCCATTTTTCTGAGGAATCTCCATACTGATCTCCAAAGTGGCTGTACAAATTAGCATTCCCACCAGCAGTGGATGAGTGTACCCCTTTCTCCACATCCTCTCCAGCATAAACTGTCATTAGTGTTTTTGATTTTAGCCATTCTGAGTGGAGTGAGATGGTATCTCAGAGTTGTTTTGATTTGCATTTTCCTAATGGCTAAAGATGTTGAGCACTTTCTCAAGTGTCTCTTGGCCATTTTGGACTCCTCTATTGAGAATTCTCTGTTTAGTTCTGTACTCCATTTTTTAACTGGATCCTTTGGTGTTCTGGGGACTTGCTTCTTGAGTTTTTTGTAAATTTTGGAGATCAGCCCTCTGTCAGATGTGGGGTTTGTGAATATCTTTTCCCATTCTGTGGGCTGTCATTTTGTCTTCTTGACTGTGTCCTTTGCCCTGCAGAAGCTCCTCAATTTCAGGAGGACCCATTTATTAATTGTCAATCTCAGTGTCTGTGCTACTGGTCTCTTGTAACAATTCATTCAAGGGTACTTCCCACACAAAGTGAGCTTTTTTAATCCATGGAAGGATCTATTCACACAAAGGTATTTGAGCACTGATATGAATCATCCAGTTCAACAGCTGTTTTCTTCATTTGACCCACTGATAGTGCTATAATCAAATACTCTAGGTCCTTCTCAAGCAGTTGTGATCAGGTATCTACTCAATGGAAAATGCCTAGTTAGTAAGGGGACTTGAATGCTTTTCTCATAACAATTGACATTTTGCTTAGTAATAGTTGGTTGGGCTTTCCAAAGCTGTGTTAGTGATGCATGTGACACTTCACCACTGCCATGCAAGCATCTTCTGAGAAGACACTGATAATGGGTTTCATGTTACAGAAGCAACAGAGAAAGTGTGCTGCTGGGATTCAAGGATGTGAAATATGGCCTGATTTCAGCTGGGGTCTTGGCAGTCACGCTTTAGGTTTAGAAATGTCCAATACTTATGGGCCTTCCATGCTAGGCTAAGAGAGGTTAAGTGACTGGTCAAGGCCACACAACCATCACACAGCAAATCCAGAATGCCACTCCAGGGGTCAGATTCTTTTCAGTTGTCTCCTTTAGTCCATGTCAAACAGTGAGAGCATCAGCATCCTTACCTGGAGGCTCATGAAAACACAGACCACTGTGTCTATTCTGGAACACTGGGTCAGGGAGAGAAGGTAAGGCAATGAATGCAAAAATCCTCAGGTATTCTAACAGGTTCTCTGGCAACACTGAAGCTGCTGGTTTGAAGACCACATCCTTGCGAGAATTACTTGCTGTTGAAGTGTGGTCCCAGCAGGCATCACCCAGGAGCTCCCAGAACTGCAGCATATCAGGCCTGCCAGAATAGAATATGCATTTTAACAAGATCTCCATATGATCTGTATGCAAATTAAAAATTTAGGAGCCTCCTCTACACTACAGCTCTTGGTTTGCAAAATACTACACTGAGTCCTACAGAGACAGAGAAAATGATCTTGCTAACTTCATTAGCTGGTAGTTTATATTATAGCAGAAACTCCCCAGAACCATTTTAGGCACTTACTTTATTCTTCCAATAATCTTATGGGAGGGATACTAATACTATTCCCATTTTAAAGTTAAGGAGGTAACAAGATCAAGGCATGCAGGCAACCTGACACAAGTAAGCTAGATTCAGGGTACCAGACTGGTCAGTCCACTCCTGAAGACCACACTGCCATTTACTAGGCTATGCAAGTTTACAAGCCCTGGTTGCCACTCATACAGTAGGGGAGATGGAAAGTCAGGCAAAAAAAAAAGACACAAAAGAGAGGTTGCAGATTTCCCAGGTCAAGAGAACTAATGGATTGATCCCACTTGAAGTTCAGAGTCCTAGGTGAGGTGTCTGTAGTTTTCCAGGTTACAGACAATGCCATTCCTGCTTCAGAGTATCTTCACTTACCAAGCAGAAACAATAGTTATTGATGAAGATAAAAAAAATCCACGGGCAGTAGGACTGGAAAGCAGGGGCTGGGGACTGAAATGGACATTAGAGTCTTTCACAATGGACTGGACTGTAATTTGACAGCATAAACTGCATCGGATAAAAACTAGAATGCTCACAAGTAAACTTTGACTCTTTCCTGCCAGCCAGCCCAGACTCCTGCCTTCTGATACGAGACTACACATAGACAGGAGCTCACAGTGATTACAGTCTCACAGCTTGTGAGAGTCCCTTAGTCATTCCTGCCCAGCCTATCTATAGCTAATCCCAATTCCTCTCTTCCCACTCCTCACTTTGGAGGCCCCTTACAAGTAACAACCTACCCAGTGTTCAGTATAAGTGTCTTCCCAGGGACTGGGCTGCTTAGTCCAGACACAATCATACACTTCTACCCACTTAGATTTTCTCTGAAAATAGCACTGAGAGCCTTGTACAAAGGTGAGTATTAAAATTTGTTGTCACGCCTTTAATCCCAGCCCTCGGGAGGCAACAGCAGGTGGATCTCTGTGAGTTTGAGACCAAGCCTGATATACAGAGTGAGTTCCAGGACAGGATCCACAACAATACAGAGAAACCCTGTCTCGAAAAACCAAAAATAAAGTAAAATAAAATACAATTTGTTGTCATCTTTATATACTTCTCCATCTTTCCCCTAAAGGCAACTAGACCCTGTTATAGAAGAGACTTATTTATCTTTGTGTTATCCATGTCTAGAATAGTCCCTAGTGCATAATAACTACTAATAGATAAAAAGTCAGAAGCAGCTCCAATTCCAAGCCAACCATCTTCAGTTCTCCTTTCTCCAGATGCAACCTTGTGATCCCCTCAAATGGAATAAACATTTGAATTCCCTCAAATGGAGTAAAGGGTTTGTGAAGGGCTGGCCATCACCTGGACACACTGTCAGCAGCATGTTGTAACAGTCATAGGCGTTCTCCTAACAGTCTCCCGGAATTGTTAGTAGAAATATATTACCTTTACTCAGAAAATCCACCCTGCAGCAGTAACTACACAGCTAAGTAGCAACAAGCTTTATGCCCTGTGGAGCTGGTGTGTATCACTCTATTAGCTGGGTGTCACTTGTAATCACACACCATGTTTAACACGGTGATTTATTTAGGTACTTTTGTAATGGACTTGCACCAAGCACAAGTCAAGATGCCTGGAACACAGTGACTGCACTGAACATTTTGGATGCTTTTCAGCTTGACGAGTTCCATCTAGAGCTAGAATCTCTGGGGATGCCTCTGTCCAACAGGAAGCTGCAGAAAGTTTCTTGTCTTCAGAAAGTGCAGAGCTGCTGGGTGTGGTGTGACTTCCCTTTTCTCTTCTGGTGGTGGCAGTACATGACCCTCCTTGTTCTCCTTTGTCCCTTGGGCCCCGCTTCTAGCTGCCATGCCTTCTGAGAGATGTCCTGTGGGGGAGAACTCTTGTCTAGGAAGAAAGTCAATATCAAATATCATTGTCCTACAGATTGGAATGTGGACCAGTGCTTTCTTCAAGCCTACTGTGTGCTGGGGTTGGCTCTGTGGGCAATCTTATAGAGGAAGGAACTCCAGCAGCATCCCCTCCAAATACTCCATCCCTAAGGGCAGAAGCGAAGGCAAGGAAAATACCACAGTAGCTACCATTCCCTCTTACAGCAGCCAGGGAGACATTTGTCCTTAAAACAGATGTAAAATGCATCTTCAGTGGGTTTAGTTATGATGGCAGCACTTCCTTCTGCTCAGAAAAGACTGGAGGCTTCCCAGTGGCTCCTCTGTGAATCCCAGTGTCTTCCTGTGTCCAGAACCTACTCTCAAACTGAACAGGGCACGTTTGAGTTATTGACTTAAGGTGAGGAAAGAAGATACATTTTTACAAAGCCACTTGAACTTTTGTATCTCACAGAAACACACCCCACATTTCCCATGTCTCTTCCAGTTCATTCCCTCCTTGAATCATTGTGCCTGTGTCAGACTTCTCCATGAGAATACAAGCATCCCTCAGATAGCATTCTCTTCCCTTCTGCCATAGCTCAGGAATGGTGCTTGATCCCTTGATCTGCAACAAGTGCAGGAAGGGATGCAGGAACACATGTACCACACTTCCTACAGATTCAAGATTCAGCGTCACCCTTACCCTGCATTTCAGAGACTCCCTTTCACAACGGAGGTGGGAGAAGGGCAGTGCAGCTCTTTCGAGATGAAAGTCCTCTCTGAAATACCTGCTGTCCCTCTCTCCAGGGGATGTAGTTCTCTCTGCCTGCCAACATTAGGGGCACGCTTGCTCTCTTATTTATTTCTTTGGCACGCTGGGTCACATTCTCTGCCACTTGTCCTTCTGGAGGTTCGTTAAAGTATTTCAGACTAAACTAATGAAGTAAGTCGGCAATTCCTAGTAGACAGCAGCATGAACCACTCACAGGTTCTCAGATTTCTAATGGACTGAGGGGTTGGTTTCATATGACATCACTGTCTTGGTAGTGTGACTGCCTATAACAAATTTTTATGTTTGTTTTTAGTCAATTTGTTTGAAATTTCATTGACCATTAAAATTTTTACTATTTGTTAATTTCAAAGTTTTGTTTACATGAATGTATACACTGTGCAATGATCAAATCAAGATGACCATCATATCCATAGTTGTAAATATTTCACATTTCTTTGTGATGAGAGCATTTAAAGTCCTATTTCCTTAGTCATTTTGAAATTGACAACTTACAGAAGACCAGAACTTGTTCTTTCCTTCAGCCCTTCCCAACCTCTGTAACTACCCCTATACTCTCACCCTCAATGGATGACAGCATTTCTACATTCTATATCTAAGTGAGGTTATGTGGTATTAGTTTTTCTGTGCCTAGCTTATTTCACTTAACATAGTCTTCACACTCATCCATGTTGCCACAAATGACAGGACTTCATTCTTCCTTTTATGACTGAATTATATTCAATTGTACCAGAAAGTTCTCAGTGGATAGGGTGATGCCAAGAAGAACATTAGAGCATTGTCTCTTTCAGAGAGAGCAGGCATGGTCAGGCTTTACCTGTTATAGAAGGGACATATAAAGTCCAGAAACCAGCCAGATGCTACCTTCTCCTTCTCTTCCTGCTCCTCCTCCTCCATGCTGGTGCTCAAACCCTGGGCCTACTGTCTACTAGGCAACCACTCTATCACAAAAGCCCTGCTATGCATTTGTGATGACTTAGTGTTTACTGTCCCTGGCCTTGACTGGTTATGTCCTAAAATGATTTGAGTCATGCTGCTGACAAATGTGGAGAAATCTGAAAGAATGAAAGTTGATGGCAGGTAAGCTTGTGGAAAACTTCAAATCTGAGCATAAGTGTTATCTTTCTGGAGGTTCAAGCTTCCTGATTAACTTTCTATTTAATAGACGAGATAGTGGATGAGAACTATTCATTTTGTAAATTGATGACTAATTAAAGAGACAACAGTATAAGGTATGCAATATTTTTACTACATGGGACATACGTTTTATATGACTCATAAAGTACTTTAGCGTCTTGCAGTCAATCAGAAAACATACTGTTAAAAAATCTGTTTTCATGTGATGAATTGAATCTTGGATAATCTCTAGATTATCATATGGTTAGTAGTATGTCAAGAGTTATGGAGTTCTTGCTGTGTGTAAGATGCTGTAATATATGATAAGAAAAGTTAGGGTAAACAAAACAATACTGTAAGATGATGTAGACAAAAATTTAATTGAAAGGAACACATCAAAAGTGTGAAGACAAAAAGCATGTGGCGTGACGAAGGCTGTTGTTGGAAGCAGAAGCTTCTATGGGGAACAGAGGCTCCTGTGAGAAGTAACAACAATTATTTCAATATTGCACATGCCATTTACTGAGCATTTGCCACCTATCAGGCATTGTGCTAAGTTCTTTGCAAGAGAAAAATATCAAAGCTTCACAGTAATCCGGAGAAGGAGGTGCTGCTGGTAGTCCCATTTCTTAGATGGGGATACTGAGGAACAAAGAGGATTAATGTATTGCTGAGGCTTGAACAAAACACATGAGTGGAAATGTACAAGGAAGCCCTTAAGTTCAGTATTAAGATATTTAAGTGTTCATTTTCATGAACTTGGTAACACCTCTCTTTTCCTTCTGCAGTTTTTTAAAAAGTCTTTCTAGGAATAGCTTGATAGAGAGATGGTTAGATTTGGGCCAAAGACTGTTTTGCTGATAACAAACTGTCCAATTTTGGACTAGCCCCTTAGTCTCCCCAAGCTGAAATGTCCTCAACTATAAAATAGGAAATAGTAATTCCAGGGTCATCATCACCAGGGTCAAATCAGATATCATTTATAAAAGTTACAGGATGGAATCTGAAACCATTCAACGAAGCAAAGTGGTTCTAAATAGTCTCTTTCA